AGTATGCCTTTCTCATTTTAGAAATTACATCCCATTGATAGCTATATAGACGGCATCGCTATAGACATTTTTAGGTTTGTGAATACTGAACGATATGAATCCTGGAATACTTTGTGCTTTGTGTATAATATAGAAAAAAAACTCTGAACTCATATTTTAGACCTCCAAGTGCAACTATTCAAATAACCCTAGCTTTATTGTATACTCCAAAAAACAGTTCCACATCCTCCAGTAAGCAGCAGCTTTACTTAAAGTCTCACTACACCAGATACTGTTATTGTTCAATCTGTGGTATTTATTGTATGCAGTATTTTAATATGATGTATGGTTTATTAGAGTATAGTTTTAATTTAGTTTTATATGGTACTAATTGCTGTTATTGGTTTTTTGTGTCGTGTCTTGTCTCCGTTCATAATTGTGATCTTGTGTTGTCTTTGTTAAATGTAACTACATTTTAATCATTTTCCTTTGGGAGTAACAAAGTATTCCAGATACTTGTGTGATTATATGATCTGGTGTGTAAATTTGTAGGAGAGCTGCTGACTGCCAAAGAAAACAGAACTTTGCATAGGTATACAATGAATATAAGGTTGTTGGAGTTCCTGCATCTACAGATTGGATTTAAATGCAGTGTATTTGTATGTATAGTTTTAATGTTTGAGAGGAAAGCTCTACCTCATTGATTACTGCTTGGTTAAATCAAAAAGAGTATTGATTTGGATATATGTATGTATACATAGGTTTATTTTTATGTTTTATAAACTCTATACTGTTCAATTATCTGATACAAAACAATAAGCCGAACAGAACACTTGTTAAAATATTTTGAAATAGGATGGAGAAACACTTCCTACCACTGATTTTCATTCAATGATTTTCCACATTTTTCCTTTTCCAGCACCAGTGTTAACTGTTTTTAAGTATTTTAACAAATTACATACGGAAGGGTAATTAATTTTTGATGGCGGGATACAACAAAAAAATGTTAAACTGACAAATTAGGAGGTGTCTAGAGTTCCAGTTAATTTGGGAGATCTTTAATAAATCTGTTAAAACAAGCACACACTGCCAAAAGATCAGTTAATAAAGCAAACATGGGTAAAAGAAAAATGAAAGTTTTATTAGTTCTTCGTAGTCCCTCATATACTTAATTATATAGATTCCTAATTTTTATTTATTATTTTAGAAAAAATATACTTATATATATATAGTTATATATAGTTTATAACAATCATAATATATTAAAAAATAATCTATTATATAACCTGTAATGGCTTGTTCAGCGTACAAAGAAATATTAAAGCTACATAACAAAAATGCTTAATAAAAACAGGCAAGGCTGTAACTGTCAATGTTATATTAATCTAGTTGTAAAATATATGCACTGCAAAGAAAAGATAATTTTTAGTCTGTTGCTACTTTTTGCTCATAGTATAAATAGAATGATCAGATCTTGCAAGGCTTTTTTCTGATCTGGAGACAAGTGGAATTGTAGAATGTATAGATAATGTTTATTATACAGTATATGCTGCATGTCCTATTTAGAATTCCTGCCTTATCTATTCCTATATATATGATTTATTACTAAATGAGTGTACACACGTTTATTGCCTTGGATCCTGCTCAAAAAGCTTGCAATGAATGGGTGGACTGTTAGTGCTTTAGGGTAGTGCCTTTTTGAATTCCTACAAAAATATAATAAATGTATATGCAAACTAAAATAGCCCTTATTTAATTAGCAAGCAATTTTAAATGAGGAAAAACCTACTGATCCTAATGCATTAAACCGCAAACAGTGGAAGGGCCACACATGTAAAATCGGGTCTAAAAGTGCATTTTTTGGAACGATTGTACACATATACAGGTTTGAATTGTGGTGAAGGTGTATATTTGTACTTCAGGAAATAGGGGTAGGGGTTGGACTACACTGCCTTCCAAAAAACAATAATGGTCAATATCAAAAATCTATCTTGGCTATGTTCCATTTATGCATGTTGTGTTTGTAAATCTCTTTTCTTGTTGGTTGGTCCTATGACGGCCGTGGCCTTTACTTTGTATTTTCAGGTTCTTGGGTTCTTCTGCTGTGGTAGTTTTTTTGCTTGGCATTTGGAGACTGGACACATGGAATCTGTCTAGGGCATCTAAACTGTATGATTAGTATTTAGGTCCCTGGTGCCCGACCTGTCTTCTTAGGTAATTGTTGCATGGCCCTTGGACATTAACAGTTTCTAGTGAAGTGGAACCATTGGTTTGTAACAGTGACCTCTACTAGCTTCATGGAACCCCCCAGTCTTTCTTCTGCAGCCTCCAACAAAAACTCTAGCATGTCCACAGTCCCTGGCTGCTATTTCTCTTCATATGTCTTCCTTGTTTAGCATTACATATACTGAACATTATGTTTGTCCCTTTGGTGATGTTACAGGCCATGTTTGTGGCCCCCTATATCTTGTAGGTTTACAACCACTCATTCAAGACATGTGTCCGTGAGCATAGCTGAGTTTGTCTTGAGATCTTTTTGAGTTTCAACAGAGCTGCTTCTGATTTGCTTTTACATTCACATTTTTTTTCATCTGGAGGAAAATCAAACAAGTGCTTATGCACACAACCCTTTAAAGGATAAATTCACCTTTTTAAAAATTGCACATCATTTTGCAAATAAAAAAATATGCATTTATTCATTTTTACTAGGAGCCTGTAAAGCATTGCACCCATGAACACCAGATCGCGGGTGCAATCTCAAGCTGTTGCAGACTGGCAGTGTAGCTACTGAATGGCAGGAATCCATGAATCCATAAACTACTAGAGCGCTCACCTGTGTCTTGGTAGTTCATTGAGAACTACAAGTCGTCAGCCGCAATGGCTAACAGTAGTTGTAGTTCTCCCATTCACAGAAATCTGCAAACGAATAGCGCAGCTGGGTAGGCAGAGCCCCGCATTGCCATGTTTTTTTTTAAATTGTGACACTGGGTGTGGGGAGAAGATCCCTGGCTTGCTGTCATGGATGGTGGGTGCAGGGGCTGCTGCAACAGTTACATGTTACACCCTGAATACGGGTGTAACATGCAACATGGTACAAAATGTATCCTTTATCCTTTAAGGACTTGTTCAAACATGCAGCTATTATTGAAAAGCTCTCCATGGTGGATTGCTTTTCGGGGGGCCTTTAACTGCCAGTGACAGGCCAAAACGCTAACCCACAGCACCAAATGCAACATGCTGTTTGATTTTTGCCATGGCTGTAGCTCAACCTCCTGTTTTTCCCACCCTCTGGCCACCCGTGTGAACGAGCCCTAACAGTAGTGTCGTGGCCCTTCCACAATTCCTATACAGCTGCTCTTTTTACATATGGGAGCATTGAAATAAAGCCTTGTATAAGGATTCTTTCTCTGCTTTCCCCCATGCGATAGCACTGGGTGCCTAATTGTCCATTGGCAAAGCACCAGAGACAATTGAGTGAGTCGTGTGTACTACTATAACCAGAAGTACTAGGTAAGTCATTTTTTTTTCTGGGTGTGAGAGGTAGGAGAATAAGTATAAACTAATGTGGGGGTCATCATTAAAGGGAACCTGTTGCTTAGCCTTGTATAGGCAAAGAAAAATGATGTTATCTGAGGAACATAGGGCAGGAAAGCTGTAGCACTTTGTTCTGCACTCCTGTGACCCATCACTCAGCTGGTCAAGGCTCAGGAAAGATCCAGATTTTATGGCTGGTATCCATCCAGATGCCTGGACCCGCAGCAGGCTCAGCCTCTCAGCAAGCCGCTGAGAGGCTGAGCCAGCCACTCCCACCCCCTCCACAGCACGGTGCTTCAGTGAGCGCTGGAGGGGCAGAGCAGAGAGCCCGTGACTGACTCTCTGCTCACTAAAGACCGAGAACCGAGGAATTAGTGGTTTTATCACTCCGTTCTCAGTCTTTAAAGTGATGCAGAACAGATGCAGCATTGGATTGATGCTGCATCCACCTAGGTGAGTTTAAATTGTTTTTTTGTTCTCTTTTAATGAGTGTGAGTGTGTGGGTACGAATTAAAAGACATATTTAAGCTGCCACAAAGTTTTTTTTTTTTAAGACCATTTACTGACTTCAGTTGCACTTTATACCGGTTTATGCGTTTTAAACAGTTTTTTTATATCTTTTTGTCATTGCGGAATTCATATAGAGCCCTATAGAGGGATGGGGAGTGAGGGGGAGGAGCCACAGCTTTTAGAATGATTCACTTGAGTGTATAAACATCAGCTTGGGCTATTGAGCTCTATAAACAGACCTTTTATAAAAGGCAGTAAAGAGAAGCTGGAAAATATATGATAATAAATTGAGAGCTTCACCAGTTGGCTAGATATGAAACTATCAAATATATATATACTTTTTAAAATTGTATTTGTTCAGACTATAATAAACATAAGAAAAGTGCACAAAATGACTATTTAATCCCTTTACAAAATGCTGCATGCAATATTTTTGGAAAATAATTGCTTTCTCCTCTAGTAATCCCCATTCACTTCCATGCTGTAATGGTGCAGATAAGCTTTCCTGTTAATAGAGGGATCTGTTTTGACATCACTCGGTATGAGACCTATTTTTAAAATGTAATTGTTAATTTTTACTTTTGTAGGGAGTTTTTTGTCTTTGCGAGATGGAGTGTAAACTCTGTAAGTGGCTAAATGAGAAGAGAGGGTCCCGCCAGGTGGTCCTTGTGGTGGTATCTGTGGGTCTTCTACTGGACAACATGCTGTTCACAGTTGTAGGTATGTTTGGAGACGCAGCTGACCCTCTAATCAATAATATGGAATCAGTCTGCATTTACAAGGTGACCTTTTTTTAAACAAAATTACAGTGAGGAATGCTGGTTCAAACCAAAATATGAAGCGTGAGTAATTTTGTTATCTACTCATCTCTAACATTTCTTTCTTTAGTGCCCATCATCCCAAGCTTTTTGTATGAAAAAGAATCCGTGAATGGAAATGCATCTATAGTCCAGCTGTCTTCTCCTCAGTCTGCCACCAAAGCTCCATTTGCATTCATTCACTCTTCATTTGACAATTCTATGGTATTCACTGAAGTTCCAGAGCATCATTATAATACTGATTCTCAAGGGACCAAAGGCAAGATCCAAGAACCGCCAAAGAATGAGACTTGTACCATGGAAAAGAGTGTATTACAGGATGAGAATGTACAAGTTGGTTTACTGTTTGCCTCCAAAGCAATATTACAGCTCCTGGTGAACCCACTAGTAGGACTGATAACCAACAGGTATGGCTGTATGTGTTCAGTCTAACACAAGAAGGCCTGTGTGTGAATAGACAAATGTTTACTTCACTTATTTATTTTTTGTTGTCCGTAGGATAGGATATGATGCGCCTTTATTCTGTGGATTTGTCATCCTGTTCCTGTCTACTCTCAGTGAGTAACTTGCAAGTGCATGTAAAAAAAAGTCTCATCATTTTTTAATTAGAAAATGGCATGCTAGTAGGAGGATTATTTTTACTATAAGTGCTAACAAAAAAAGTGACAATCAGCAGATAAAATAATAAAAACAGCTGCCTGTGCAATGGCAGGTACTGTGAGGGGGCTCCTGTCTGCACCCCTCCCCCCCAAGTCCAATACAATTTTCAGTTTCTTTTAAATCAAAAGCACAGGGCTAAGGCAGCTTGCTCTCCTTCCCACTATGACATTGCTCGGCCTGGAGAAGCTGAACATAGGTCTCAAGTATTGAAAGGTCTGACAATTTGGTGGTTGGTTAACCTCCCTAGCGGTATGATTATGTCCATATTTCTGTGCTGAAAGTGGTACATTTTTTTGCATGGAAATATGTCGTTTTTTTTATTGTAGGCCTGTAATTCTTAGGAATAACTCACTGAAATCTGTCCGAACAAGAGTCTAGTAAACATCCTGGGTATAATAAAATCTGAAACACGAAATCATAAATTATAATTTAATAAATAATCATAAAAAATAATAATATAATAATAATGAATTTAATGCAATAATATAATCAAACCAAAACCACTGAAATTTGAAATATAGCGCCAAGTTCACACATCACTGAGCAAAGTCGCAAAATCTTTTTCAGTGTTTGATGATGAATTTCCCCACAAATCATCACTCAATTCTGCAAGTGGTTCTGATTTACTATCGCTGTTCTCTAGCTGGTCTAAAAACTGCTTTTGACATAAAAGGGATGCTTTTTGGACGCCGTGGACATTTCTCAGTTTCCAGGCAGAAAGAACGGTAAAAATGCAGGCAGGGCACAGGACAAAGCACTCGGGACAAAATGTATGTGAAATGGTTTGATACAATAATGTTTTACTATGTGATTTTACTGTATTTTGTGAATGTCACTTTTCAAAATTTTTTAATTTTCTGCTGGTTCCGGCCCCCGTACGTCCCGACGTTCGCAGGGACCGGAACCCGGAAGATGGATGCCAGCATCGGCCAGAGGAGATGGACGGGGATGCTGCAAGGGACACATCGCGGGAGCGCAGGACAAGGTAAGTGAAACTGGGAATCCCTGAGCAACGCTGCATGGTAATCCCGAATGTAGCTCAGGTTTACTGCATTTGGCACTGCAAATTAACCCCGAGCTACACTCGGGAATACCGCCTGTGGCGGAACCATTCCACCTGGGCTTCCTCGTGTGGAGTGATGCGTCTCAGCCCATGGTTCCCTTGTCCTGCAAGTCTTCCAGTGCTCTGCCAAGGCAGGTATTAGAGCTCAAAACCAATTCTTCCCTGCTGTCCCAAACCACGAGTCGGAACTTCGTGTAGGGTGAAATGAATCAATCTTTATTTTACACAGTTCAGTATATACAGCTTCATCTCCACCCCCACCAGACAGCCTGGCACCGGGTTTTCCCCACCCACAACAAAACCCTACAACCAACAATACAGTATGAACTCTATTAGAAGTGAAAGACTACAAGGTCACATTTCCCTAAACAAACAGTGTAGAATGCCTGTCTACATACCAGCTACTAAATATATACAGCTTTATAAAGGGAAGAAAACTGAAACAGAAATGGCAAAATGTTATCACAAAGGGACGGTTCATCACACCGCCAGGGAGGTTAATAAAGCAAAGGAAAGAGCAGACATCTTGGGTAGCTAGATTTGCAAGCCATACTGTACATTAACAATGAAAATGTATCTGCGCATACGGTTCATACCCTAAAGGAGTACCAAAGATGTGATATACTAACTAATTAGGTTATTGCAAATGTTAGTGTATATTTACGACGATTTGGGGTAACTTAGGTACATTTTACATTTTAATTAGTCATTTTGATACAAGCCTCTTTCCTGGTGCTTCTATAGATTACAAAGGGACCACATAGAGGCATAATCAAGTTTGGCACATTTACCTAAACTAGTGATAAATGAACTGATGCTTACAAATACTTTTCCATCCCAGATCATGCCAATCCATCAACTATGCAAGTTGGGGGTTAAGATGATGTCCAATATCTATTATTAAGAACTTTGGGCTAGCTGTAAGAAATTTAAAGTACATGAATTTAAATGATTCATACATTTAAAACTGACATCTCTGTTGTGGATAGATGCTCTTAGGCTGAACCATCCTCTACATATCAACTAAAGCTCCATGTACACTAGCATTTTTGTAAGCTCCTAGAAGCTGTTATTAGCTTTTTTTTGGCTCCTAGAAGCTAAATAGTGTTACCCTATGTGTCCATGCACACTACTTTAGGCTATTAGTGTTTTTTGAGCTTCAGTATCTAGGTGCAGGAAAAAAATGCTTTTGTAGAGTGTTTTGGAGTGTTTTTTTCCAGCAGAAAAAATGCCAAATGCTTTTAAATGATTCTAAACACTATTAAAATGCTTCTAGCGTTTTTTTCCTAGCTTTTTTCTCTACATGTACTGTAAAAACGCTACTAAAATGCTGACACTCCTAAACAATTCTAAATGCTACTAAAATGCTACTGAAAATACTATTACTAGCGTTTTTTATCCAGCATTTTTTCCAGCTTTTTTTAAGCTTAACATGCTAGTGTGCATGGAGCCTGAAAGTGGAGGTAAATTGTATCTGAACACCAAAAACTTGTGAGGTAGATGCAGCGTATTTGTGGCAGAAATGACATTGAAGCCCGAAATGCAGGAAACGATGTATGAAAGAACTTGCAGAACAATTCAACAATCCTGCAGGGTGGAGCACCCGACTGGGAACCAATGTAGCGGAGAGTCAGCAGTATTAGACCTGAGCTGAAGAGGGCACTTGCCAAGGGAAGTGGAATGCAGCGTGGTCAATCCAACCCAAGAGGGAGCTTGAGAAGGTCTAAGCATAGGCTTTGCTCTTCCCTACTCTTCAGGAACTTTTCCCACCACTAGCATTGTCCCTGATAAGTGTGTAACCTCTTCCTACTCTAGCCATTTTGCAATTGCATGCCAAAACCTGGAAGCAGGGATTTTAAAAGACTCTACATGACCCAAGATGGCTGTTATGGTCACCTGGATGCAGCGTAGCCAACCAAAATGCTGCTCCAGAGGACCAAGAAAACCATGAGGAAACCAAGATTTTCCTGACTTCCCCTCCAACTGCAGTACTGCTCCAATTGAGTGCCCTCTACAGTAAAGAAAGCAGACTACACCTGCCTACAAACTGGAAACACTGTTTAACCCCTTGACCGCCGACGTAACACAAATATGCACCTCACAGAACTGGGCTTTTTTCCGTGGGGCCACATATTTGCGTACCTGTCTTTCTGTTGGGAGTGAGCTGCACAGCGCACTCCCAGCACAAAGACTGTGGTGTCACTGAAAGTCCCAGGTACCGATTACGGGTCACATGATCACTGTGATAGCCTCTGATTGGTTATCACAGTGATCAGTCACTGTACAGCCCGGCTCCCTTGTGTTTTTTTTCTCTATGAATGGAGGATAGAGGTACATTGTATCTCTCTAACTCATGGCATAGAGGGGAAAAAAAAGTTTGTAAAAAAAAATAGATAAATAAATATAAACAAATAGAATTTAATAAAATGAAAATATATCTAGATCAAGGTTTAATGTAGTTCAGTGCCAGGGTAAGTGTTTGGGTCAAGGTCAGGGTCAAAGGTCAAAGGGTCAAAGTTCAAGGTCAAAAGGTCAGGGTCAAAGATCAGGATTTAAAAAAAAAATGGTTTCAGTGTATTTTTAGGTAAAAAAAAAACAAAAACAAAATGTGCACTATTGTTTCTGGGCTGTACTACAGGTACAAATAACATTTTTCTTTGGTGGTAGGTTATGGTAGTAACAAGAAACACACAACTAAATAAAAAAAAAAAGATTTTTTTTTTACTATTTTGGGCCAGTTTTCCTTTGATAATAAACAAAATCAGGAGATATCCATTACCATTTACCACCAAATAAAAGTCCAATTTGTCCTGAAAAAACAAGGTATAATCCACCTGGATGTACAAAGTAGTTGTGATGATATGTACGATTTTACTAAAGTCAATGTTGCAAATTTGTGCTTAGGCATTTAGATTTGTTTTACCCTTAGGCGTGAAGGGGTTAAATCATGTTTAACTTCGAGGCGCCGAATGTACACAAATATGCGGCCTCTGGGCAACTGGGCCATATTTGCATACCCAATGTAAACAAAAGATGTACCGAGAGAGCACGCCCTGCTCGCTCCTGGCACATTTACCGGAGCCTCAAAGAAATTCCACGAATGCTACTTGCAGTCGGGAGCTTTACGATCATGTGACCAATCACGGCAATCACATGACCCTAAACCCCGCCCCACTTCCTGGCGTCACAAACCCCTTAAACAGTATGTTCTAAAAAATGCTACACAGTTCTTTCACAAAGTAAATGTTATTCAGTTTTGGTTTGGATTTATGTTAAAATTACGATTTTGTCAAACAATAAAATAAGTTTGTGATATTCCATTCCATTATAGTTTGGGGAAATGTTTTCTGAAAACTACTAGACACGTTAGGGTGATTCGTTAAAAACAAAAACTTGGATTAATAAAGATATTGTATTTTTTTCTTCTTTAAAATGTAACTTAATCCAAGTCTAAAAGTAATGCTAAAAATATACCTTTAATATTTGATCAGACGTCTAAAAAAAGATCAGGATGCCTGTGGCAACAGCAATGCTCAGGGCTTATGACTGTTTGATCCATCAATGTTGGATTAAATGAAAAACATGACAGTGCCCCAGAGCCGATTAACAAAATCCTAATCAAAAAAACAGTTTGGTCTGTCAATCATGATGGTATTGTTGATTTTCAAATTTTGGAACCAAACAAGGTCAACAGGGAGCAGTGTATTTACTCAATGCACTATTGGTCAGGTAACTGATAGGGCCTCTTAACAAGCATGAAGGAGCAGTTATTGTGTTTTATAACTAGAGGTATTGTCTTTGAGATGGGGATTAGCATCCAGGTTTAGCATATCCATAGCATTTGTAGATAGGTGCTCAAACTACATTTAATTTAATTTTATCCAAAGGTATTTGCCATATTCTAATTTTACACTGCCTGAATGAATCCCTGTGTAGCTAGACAGTGCTGGGCCCGCAGACCTCCAGGCACCGTAGCAGCTGCATCAATTGCTAAAGCTATACTTCTGTTCTTATTGTGTAACACAACTGGAAAATGCCGAACACAAAGACATGTCTGATTACACAGGCCATACCATAAAAAAGTCCAATCAAAATAAATGTGATTTCAAATGCAATTGGATTGAAGCTTTTGGAGTTTATTTAAAATTTGCTATAAAGGAAAGTGGCAGTGTTGCCCTCAGGGCCAGGACAAGGGGTGGGCAGGAGGAACGGTTGCCCTGGGCGCACTGATTTACTGTAGGGATAGGGGTGCCTTGCTTCTGTTACAAGACTGACAGAAGTGAAGACAGTGATTTTGACAAGCAAGCGACTGCTGGGCATAGGATCCCCTAAACTTTCACATCGTGAACCCCGGGGGGTTGGGGATTGCCACAGTTTGGCATCTTTGCCCTGGGTGCTGGATGACCTTGTCCTGGCACTGGTTGCCCTTCATAACCAATCACAATTAACATGACACTTTTTTATAGCAGGATAGGAAATGGAACATTACACCTAGTTTGATATGATCTTTAACATTCTTTGAAAGGGGGTTTCCATCTAAATCTCAAAGTGTGCCAGAAAACACTTTGTAGGTATAGATGACTTTGTGGATTTTGGTCCTCTGCGTGCAGCTATGATGATGATCCTATCAACACTATTATGTTACCACTGATGGAATTAGGGCAATTGTATGATAGAGGAGTCTGGTAAAAATTACAAGAAGAGTAAATATCCATTTTTTAATAAAATTTTATATACATTTTTTATTGTGCATGTAGATATTACATCTAGTAGCAATAATGTCTGTCTCTTTGTACTAGTGTTTGCCTTCTCTGGCTCTTACACATTACTTTTCCTGGCAAGATCACTGCAGGGTGTTGGATCTTCATTTTCAACTGTGGCAGGTAAGAGCCTAGCACTTATGTTTTATCATGTAAACATGGCATAGCACAGTAGAGCCTTCCTTGAACAGAGGATATTCTCAATCCATCAGCAAAAATAAGGACATTGCTTCTCATTTCAAGATAATGGGTAGAGCAATGCAAGTCATTCCTGTTTGCCTCAATAGCTAACTGTAAATTCAGAATCAATGGTGTATAGCACCGATGCAGCCTAAGCCCTGGTTCACACTGGATTTTGAAATTGTGCAACTTCACTTGAAGTTGCTAGTTATAACTCTATCAGCATCATTATTTTTTTAAAATGATTTGGTTGTAGTGTGCTGACCCCAAAGCCAGGTATTTGCATGCAGACTACCCAAGGTAATGCCCCCCTGTGATGCTAAACTCTTTAGGTGCAAACCTAGAGTGTTTCTGAGAAAGAGTTTCCCTACAAACACTGGCAATAGACAGCCAACAACTTGTGTCATAAATCAGCCATGTTGTTCCAAGAAAAACATAGCACAAAGTAGAAACTGTTTGAATGCCTAACATTTTATTCCAGGGACATCTTAATAGCATCATGGGCCCCTTGGAAAAGTAATGCAGTGCGTCCCTGTAGCAATCATGCATACAGAGATGTTGTTAAGGGTCTTCCATCTTCTATCATGTCCTACTCCCAAATCAGCTTTCCTCATTCCCCCCCTCCCTCTCTGTTGAGTGACATATGGTCTACTTGATGCAGATCACAGGCAGCAAACTCAATGGGAGGGCGTCATGGCTATAAACCCCACAACCGAGCAGGGGCCTAGCTGTCTGTTAGCTGTGCAATCTGGGATATCGTAAAACCATAAACCAAGTCCTTCACTGAGCTCAAAGGCATTCCAGGGAGTCGTAAAAACAGACCTACATTTAAAAACTCACTTTTCCATATAATTTTACATCTTGAATTATGAAAGACTTACACAAACATGGAGCCCATACTCAGGCGGCTCACTTTGAGAGCAGTCTCCTGGTATATTACACCCCCTCTCTGACATATACAGCAGAGCAGAAAATCATATCTCCGTAACCATCCAAACAGATATGTCATATTTCATATCTAACCATTTGGCAGATGCGTCTGCATGTTAATCTACAAGTGCAAGGCTGATAAATAAGGCACCGAGAATAAGTTATGAACCATAATATGAGCTAGGAGAGTTTTCGGTCATAGCTTGGGTCTCCACCTACAACTCTCTCCCCAAATGAGGCGATTGGTTTACTGCTCCAGGGAGACACCCTGTGGAGTTGCTAGAAAAAGCTAAGCAGAGTTGAGAGAGTTGAAGTTCTCCCCTTTTTAACATCGGAACTAAGGTTGGGAGATAAGGCATCCTTTTGGCTCATGAAACCTGATCATTTGGCAACTACTTTAACCCTCTAAACTCCTCTCTGTTATCTCTTTGCTGTGCTATTGTTTTCTGTATATTTATATATATGTTGGCTACATCTTTTTCTGTAAATAATTTTATTTCACCTGTTTGGCCTTTTAGTAATAAATCTTACTTTCTGAAAGTGTTGAACTGTTTTTAAAGCTCTTTAATGCAAACTAAAGCACTCCCACCTCTGAAGAATGCTACTGTGTGTGTGTTTTAAACTTCAGTATATCTCTGCCTGCGGTGACAGTGGTATACCGACAATTATTCAAACATCATAGTGTTATTGCTGATATTGCCGAGTTTCCTCTTTCTCTGTACAAAAAGGAGGTGGTGGCAGTGTGAAGGGTTAATTGTGTAATTAACCTGACCCAGTAGCAATCGCTCTCAGGCTGTAGATACACAGATTGTTGTCCATTAGCTGGAAAATCTTTGTGCAGGGTGCAGCTAGGTGTGGCATTGACACACGTGACAGCGCGGTTTTAGATTGGCTGGTCCTTTGGTCACGAGTTTGGTGAGAAGGGCTGGGGTCTGACGCCGCGATCGTCACAGACCCCTTCTAGCCTGCCCAATTTATGCACCTACTCTCAAGAATTAAAGTATAAATAGTTGATGGAATTAAACATATATTTTTAAACAATCAGAAAATATGCCATAAATCAAAGACTAATTAACACAAAGGGCACAGTACAGGAGGGGTCAGGGGGGCACAATACTGGGATCAGGAGAGCACAGTACAACTGTCCCAGGACAGCTTAGCAAAAAGTGTGACTGTTCTGACAAATCCGTCAATTTGTCAAGAATGATGTAATGTAAGATTATCATGGGGCCCCCATGCACCTGGGGCCCCTGGCCAGTGCACAGGGGTGCCCATGCATTAAGACAGCCCTGTATCATACTGTATTGTTATACTGTATAACTGCACTACTATTAGTACTGTATACTGCACTAGTTTTTAGGGGAAAAAAACTGACATTTAGATAATTAACATTTTTGAGTACCATGGGGGATATGTATTCAGCACAGTAATTACAAAATTAGAGGCAAATCGGGCTGCCTCTCAATTCACAAAGTCTATGCAACAGATTTTTTGGGGGATATTTGTGACCTCTTGACAGCTGTGCACAGGTCTGCAACACAATTAACAATGGAGACAAGATAGATTGTCTCTCCAAAGAGATGTACAATAAAGTAGTGGTCTGGGGCAGGTTTTACTACTTTAGAGCCTGAAGGAGAAAGATATGAATGAAGCTGCCTCATCCTAATGTCTCATTACTCTGCTGTTTTGCATTATCTTGTTCTTCAACAGAAATAATGCATACTGTATCCCCCTTAGAAATGTCTGTCTTTATTAAATTTGATTTTGTTTAAATGTATGTATTGTTATATATGCTCCTTTAGGTCTGGGGATGCTTGCAAATGTGTACACTGATGACTATGAGAGAGGACAAGCAATGGGTATAGCACTGGGAGGGTTAGCATTGGGCGTTCTCAGTAAGTATCTGTATTTCCTATCCTATTCCTATGTTGTGCTCTGAATGTTTCTGTCTTCTCTTGAGATTTCCTTTCTCACATTCTGAATATCTCTACAGCTGGCGCTCCATTTGGTTCTGTCATGTATGAGTTTGTTGGAAAGGCTTCCCCGTTCCTGGTGCTGGCAGTTTTTGCTCTACTGGATGGTGGTAAGAATTTCTGTCTCTGTTTCTACTGTATTCTTTATGATAAATGGTATATTGACTAAGTTAAGCCCCATACACATGATGAAAACACTGGGTGAATGATTGTCTGTTTTTTTTTTTTTGCATGCTAGCCTCATATTGAAAGTGAAGAGGTTACTAAAATTATGAAAATTCTTGTATGACAGAATAAAAAATTCGGAAGTGATGCAATGTATTTGTATTGTATTTTTGGCTGAAAACTGTACTTATGCGATTAAATAATATGATCTGGTATCATAGAAGAAAAATTATTGTGCTTGTCCTTTTTGATCAGTTTCAGAAGAAAGCTGTGTACTAACAATCAGATTATCATACGGTCAATTTGAAAGCAGTATTTTTTGTGCAATTTTCCGATTGTGTGTACTAGGCTTTACTCTATCACTAAGTAATATCTGAACAGTAGCAGAGTGATACTGAGACAGAAGTACTGCTGGCTACATGTAAACAGCCACTACAGTCTCTGTCATTGTTGGGTTAATTTTATCCCTCCTAGCTGATGCCACAATTCATTTCAGGGGGATATTGTGATTACAGGTGCCAATAGATATTTGTTGATTGTCTGGATCCTCATGTCTGGGGACACTATACAGTGCAGTACAGGGACAAGGTCCTTTAACACTGAAGGTGAAAAGGCCAAAGTGTGCTCCCCCTCCAGCAAAATCATCTAAGCTCTCCATCCACCACTTACACCTACCCCTCTGCCTGGCCATGGGCAACTGATCTCAGGAAATATTGAATATTTTTGCTTGAATCCTAATATTTTAATTTAGGATAAATCAGTTGGATATGTCCATCCATGTTCTTCCTCGGATGATCCAAACATTCATGTTTATGTCACAAGCAATTAAAAAAAATATCTGGAGGTTAAGTGGTGCCTACTTGTATAGCCAACTTTGCTTTCTGCACAAAGAAGAAAGCTAGGTGAGGATTTGAATTTGTGTTCCAATCCTTGCCTTAGAAAGTATGCCACCGCTGACATAGAAAGTCCATAGTGCACTTCCTTTGGTGAAACGTAATACATATATTTTATAGGATAACTATAGCAGATAACACATTTAGATTATTTGACTTTAATTTTATAAATTAAATTCCCTAATAATATCTTACAGCTTTAAAAGCATGTAGTGCCTGGCTGCGGTTTGTTTAGCATTCAGCAAATGAGCTGGTGGTCCTGGGTCACAAACTCTGGCTACACCACCAGAGCTCCACACTCTAAGGCCAATAGGGCTTGTCAGTTTTGTGTCACAACAGAGTTGTAGGGGACTTCGAACCTGTGATTGCAGGTTGGGTCTGACAGGGGCCATGCCAGACACCCATCTCACTTAACACCAGGGTTGGGGGTACAAGACACATGGTCCAGAAAGGAGATCTTTCACCACCACCAATCTGGCCAATTCTCCTTCTCTTGATCACCACCAGTCTCCTGACTGAGCTAGGCTTTACACTTACTTCTTGTTCCCCGGGTTTTGGCCACCATGTACCGCTGAAATAAAGGCATAATCCAGAAATTATTCTTCACTTTTCAAACATGCAATAAACAATTGATTTAAATGTTTATATTTACAGTCAATGTGCTACATGGTCCCATATATCATATTACATTCAGTTCTCTGCTCACTTTAAGGACTGGGTACTCTCTCAATAGAGCTCTCCAGCTTTCCTGAGAGGACCCACTGGGAGAAGAATAGGCAGCATTCCCCTGGAGGGGAAGACTGTTTCTGGTAACTTCCCATTTTCTGTGTTGTGCAGGTCCCAGAGCTTCCATGAGGTCTAAGGTGCTCACTTCTCCTTACTACATATAGTCGAAAAACTGGAAAGTAAATGAGTATTTCTAGAGGGCACAAAGTAGGAGCTACAAGAAGGCTCTACAAGCAGACATAAAAAAGAGATTGCACAATATTTCTAATGTCTGTTGTGGTGTTAGGTAAAATTTCTAAGGTTTGTTTAGTAAGTTTGACATTTAAACCTCTTTATGCCCGTGCTCAAGTAGACTTTCATTAGGTCTCCTCTTCCACAAAGACTGGCTTATTAGTGATTGTGGCCATAAAATGCCTATATCCTTACACACCACAAACCTGTAAAATTGGCTTGAGGGTGTAATAAAGGGGCCTCTTTTCTATTTAAACTCAATTGCAAATGCCTGTGTTTTTCCCTCAGAGCCCATCAACACTAGGGTGATTGGAAAACCAAATTATTTTAATGTTCCTTTGTTGAATTTTGCTTTTTATTCTGCAGTGGGTTGCATTATAATTGCAGTGCATTTTCATCATGTGTTCCTTGTATGTAGTTCCTATGCCTTTACAGGCAGAGAAACAAGCGAAAGTATTCTGCCTGCGTGCAGCTACCTGCCTTAAAACACATGTAAACCCTCTTAATCTATACTATATTAAAGATATATTACTGTTCATTCCAATGGGAGACACATTTATGAGGAGATAAACTGCAGCATGAAGTACATTTGAAAAAAATCACCAGGCAAAAACTCATAGGTGTGGACTGTAGCACTGAAAACACATAAACATATAATTTTGCTCTGTCATTTGGAGGGCATGTCCCTCTTTTGGAAGAAAATCTCTCTGCTTTTCATTTCATCTGAAATATCCTTCTTTTATCTCAGGTGTAAAGAGCTGTATAAATAATAAATGTATTCATTAACTATAGCAAACATATTCATTATGCACTAAAATTTTCATTCATTTTTAAACTCGGTACTTGTATTTTGACCCTTTAACCCATTTAGGTGCATTAAATCTCTACAGAATATATGCAAAAAAAGAAAAATGAAGAGGTCAAAAAGCCCCAGTGGGTTTAAGTGATCCTTTTTGTGCTTTCATTTTTCATTTTTCACATGAACGGGGGGCGAAGGTTAAAAAGGCCCATTCACACTTTGGTGGGCATTGCATTGCATCAACAACCAAGCATTAATTGAATACTTGCACTAAGATATCCTATTCATTTTAAAAAAAACTGTCAACAACAAACAAAATGTACATGCACCTTTTTTATGCAGTGCACCACAGCACACTACATGCACTGTCAAGGGGGCAGAAGGCCTTTTCTTTTGCTCTAGTAGTGCATTAGGGTGCAGTTAAAAAACAAAAACAAAGGTATCACAATGTACTGCACTACAGTAAATGCATTACTACCTTATCCTGCCTTCTGAGTCTTCTAGTCTTATGTATATTTGTCTTCCATTCTGTCCACAGCTCTGCAGCTTTTTTTTCTGAGGCCTTCTAAGTTTTCTCCAGGGGTGAGTGTCAGTAAAGGGAGAGACATGGGAGCTCACTGCTATATTTGCTTCTAATATATTGTGTTTTATTCTTTAGAGCATTGCACCAACCTCGTTCCTGACACTCATCATGGACCCTTATATCTTGGTTGCTGCAGGTAAGTTATATTGTGCAGATAATGGCACTTAACTTGTAGTGCTTCTACTCATAAAAATGCTACACCTGGGTCCATCAGCATGGGACCCCAGTACAATATGGGACCCCTGGTCCATGCCACCCCCCCAGAACCCCCTCTCACATATATATATATATATATATATATATATATATATATACACAGTTACGTCCATGTATATTTGGACACAGGCACAATTTTAGTTTTTTTTTTCAGGTATTTACCAAAACATATTCAAGCTATAGTTATATAATGGATATGGGCTGAAACTATACGCTCTCAGGTTTAATTTGAGGGTAAGTACATTCAAATTGGAGGAAGGGTTTAGGAAATACAGCTCTTAAGAGTAGCCATCCCCTTTTTCAAGGGATCAAAAGTAATTGGACAAATGAATATAGTCATAAATAAAAAGAAATGCCCGTAGCGAATAGGGAAGAATGGAAATAGCGCAGGGCATACATGACTAGGCCCAGAGTGGTGTAGGGAACGGAAAGGGTTACATTTAGCTCCAGGGGGTGGGGAATTGATTGGGGAATTATAGTATTGGCAGATGTGGAGTGTAGGAGGGGTCTGTGATACCTTAGGGTGGGGGGTTCTGCGGAAGGGGCGTCAGTGGAGCTGGACGTGGCAAGGACCAGAGCTTGGTGCAAGGACCGGAGCTTCATGTGAGCTGGGTCCTGTTATTTTTTTTCCCCCTATCAGACCTGTGCAGCATGGAGGAACTTTTGGCACAGCTGCAGGTGGCAGCGGAGGAAAGAGGTACGGGCTGGTTGCAGGGCCGGGTCTCTGAGCTGTTGGGAGACCCGGGCTTGTCACCAGCTGCAGGGGGACGGGTGCGCCCACGTGCTCGGAGGTCTAGACCTCCGGAGCGCTTCAGTCCGGCCCCACCCCCTGTTGGAGCTCAGCACCGCAATGGGAACCCCCCTCGGGACCCTCCGGCCCCGCTGGCAGGGCGCTCACTTGCCTCTGCTAGCGGAGGTGTCGGGAGGAATCCCCGGCGATGGCGGAGCTCGGCGGGCGGGGTTTCGCTAAGTGGCCCCTCCCCCCGCCGCGCACAGAGAGGAGGACGCAGAGGGAGCTTGGCGGGCGGGGTTTCGCGAGGTAGCCCCTCCCCCCCACCCGCGCGGCGAAGAGGAGGCAGAGGAGTGCAGGTACCGGCTCCTCCGCTGACAGGGTGTCTGTCAGGGAGGGAGCTTGGCGTGGGAGGCGTTCGGCTGCGGCTGTCGGGCTGTCCCCTGATGCGGCTGGTGGGCCCCCTGGACAGTCGGGAGCTGGGGCTCCAGGAAGACAGAGGAAGAGGTGCAGCGCTGGGCGGAGTGCAGCTGGGAGTGCTGCAGGACGGAGCCCAGGGACGGCGACTGGCGTGGCTGGTGCCCAGAGGTGGAGTCAGGAGCGGCACAACCCTGAGGGACCCGTGGCTCCTGGGACTGGGAGGCCATCCGGACGTCAAGCGGTGGACGAGAGGTCGGAGGGCGAGCTGTCGGAACCCGATGCGGGGGCG